TGCACATCATGCTCATCATGCGCATTTTTGCATAATGCGCATGGGCATGCTCAAATGCTGCATTTTGCCCATCTCTAGGTCCAACTAATATAACACTTATTCACTTTTACCTCCCTAAATGCAGTACCTCTCTAAATGCACGTTTGACTCAGTTTTTGTATATGGTCCCACCGCAATGCATTTAGAGAGGTCTGACTGTATTTAATCAAAAACGAAAAGTAGTGAAGTACGCGGTGTAATATTAATGAGATAAAAAAAAACTTTAATTCTTATAATTTTTGATTAATTAGTGTATTTCTTTTTTATTCGATGCCAAAATTTTGTCATCTTTGACATGAAAAATTTGCGCATAGTGGATGAATATTTCTATAGTTTAACTCGGCACGAAATACGCAATAAATGGTTTAATTATTATTACATTTATTATACACGTCGCGTAATGATAATCTTGGTTTGACGCCTAGTGTTACAAATCGAAAGTTGAAAAAATCGATTAGTTGGTTAGTTGACAACTAATCGATTGAACTTGTTAAACACAAACTAATCGATAAATCAATTAATCGATTATTGCGGTTTGCAAAATTATGTGAAATTCGAAGATCATTAAAAAAAAAGTAATAATAACTGCACAAATTTTGTCTAATCTAAAAGTCAAAAAAATGTTGAAGAAATCAGAAATCGTGATTACTCTTTTTTTTAATGATCAAATTTCACATAATTTTGCAAACCGCAATAATCGATTAGTTGCAACTAATCGACTAAAAAATTAATCGATTAGTTGCAAAGAATCGATTGAAAAATTATTCATTTACTTAATGAATTAGTTGCAACTAAGCGATTAATCGATCAGTTGCAACTCGTCGATTAATCGATTAGTTGCAACCAACTGAAAAAATAATTGACCAACTAATCGATTGAAAAAATTTGGCCGATTTGTAACACTAATTTGGCGCATCTCAGAATCGAATTTCATTCTGACGCAACTCAATTTTAAATACGCGCCTCTTCGAATCTGACGCACGACATATAAAACTAGCATACTATACTCATAATATATATATATGTATAAAAATGGTATAGTAGTAAATAATTTAATTATGTGACTTCACGAAAATGGGTCAATAACAAAAGGATCTCAACAAAGAAAATAGTTCATCGCCATTTTGTTTGTGTTGATTTCAAATAGCGACTGGTTAGAGTTAGGTTAAAATAAAAGCTGAAAACTCCTTCCTAACCCAAAATTTCGCAAGGAATTTTTTTTGTTAGAATAAAAAAAACAGTTTCATAGGCTTTAAAAAAAACCACAATTGCTTCGATTTTCAGGTTACACCTGATCCTGCATCCTGATTGGTCGATCAGGGTAGCACTGGCGATAAATGATAACACTCTTTTTACGGATTGTTCATACGGTTCTAACAAAAATCAAGATTTTTACGGAATTGTATGCACGTACGTACGTACATTCATTGAATATTTTTTATAGGAACCTTCTTTAATATTAGGGTAAGGGTAAAGGTTAGAGGTTAGGGTAAGATATAGTTTATAGTAAAATTTAGCAAAAAAATATTTTTACTTAGTATCCCTGTAGGTGGTTTCATAATTTGAATATAGAAAGGGTGTACCAAATGCATGGGGCTCCATATAGCAATACCCTTTTTTATATTACATAAGCTCATATTTAACGTTAATGAAATTATTTGCTTTTTTTTCCTATACACAATTACGCGTGTTTTTCAAGTTTTTTTTTTCGAAAATAGTTTTTGGACAGTTAAATCAAACATTCTAATTTGTTTGTCCTGAATATTTTGAAGTGGCAGTTATAGTTATTAAGCAAAACCTAGAGGTTTCGTGCCGGTGAAGTCGAAATCATAATTTCGATTTTTGCTAAAAAAAATTTAAAAAATGAAATGGCGAAACTGCAAAATGTGGTGAACCTGGCAAAATGTGACGAAACTAGAAATTGGCAAAATCAATAAAACCAAAGATTGTATCAATAAAATCAAAGATTGTATCAATAAAACCAAAGATTGTAAAAACTAGTAAATCTTACAATAAAAAAATTTAAGTTAGCCTTCTATCTATTTAATACATTTTTACGATAAGTAAAAAAGTTTACCTTGATTAAAATTAAAAGTCACATGATTAACTTTCACGAAGTTTCGCACCTCTTTATTGGAGTTCCAACGTTTCGCCGGGGTTTCAACGTTTCGTCAGAGTTTCAATGTCCCATCAACATTTTGTCTTTCATCTTTTGCCATAATTCTCTTTATTAGTATTAAAGTTTCCATTAAAAGATTCTTTTTTTTCGAAAAAAATTTCTGTGAAAAAGCTATTAACCAATGGTGTAGATTCCTCGTCAGAACTGATATCATTCGAAGATATTATCATTTTATTGATGAGTAATCTATATTTTTAATTTCGATTTTTTTTTTAAAAAAAAAAATTAAAAATAATAACTGTTATGACCATCGCTTTCAGCTTCGGGATTTTAATTTATGACATCATAGACAGCAATAATAAAAAAATAACTATTTATTACTTATTTATTACCTTGCCCATCTCTAAAGAACAATTGGACAACTGGAAAATCAAATTAACCAATGATATTAAATGATTAATTGAAAAATTAGACTGGAACAATTGGACCAACCAATGATATTCATTAGCTGATTGTCCAATTGTCCAAATGCCAACACTGCTAAAGAAAATGTCAATCTGGGAATTTGAGAATTCTTCGATTAATAATAATATCCCAATTATGAACACTATTCTAAATCGGAGAATCCCTTAATTCCCAGATCGACATTTTCCTAGATTAGTTCTCAAATTCAAATTACTAAAAACCAATAATATTTTAATGTTAAAGTATTGGACTTAAAAGTGTCATAATTGAGTTTGGCACAATAAATTTATAGATTTTATTTGGCAAGACATAGATTAACCAAGGAAAAAAAATTCCGCGATATTGTGATCGCCAGCCCAACCTGGAAATAGTCAATTAAATATGAAGAACATTCAATTATTTTATACGTACAAGTTTTTTTTTTTTTTTATTAAGGTTTTTTAAACATGTACTGTACGGTACGTATTAATTAATTTCTATATATATCTGATATCGATATTAAAAATACGTAAGTACGTACGTACGTACTGTACGTATAATATTATCGTCATAATTAAAGCTTTCAGCTACATCTAATTAATAATAGAATCACGGAAATGGTTTAATAGAATTTTGACAAGTATTAATCGGCATACTAGATTGAATAATTATTAACGTTAATATATAATGAATAATTTACAAAAATTTAAGGTTTTAAATGACGAATAAGATAATATACAAGTGCAAAAAAAAAAAAATTTGTAATTTTAATATACGTAAATTATGTTACATATAATAAATCCATCCCCGATCACCATAAAGTTATAGCTAAACCTATTAACAAGAATAATATGTATCTTAAAAAAGATGTGGAAATTTCAATGTTCGGCCTGCCAGCACTATCGAATGGATCTACACCAGGAACAGGATCAAATGGACCAGATTTATATTGAATAATATATCTGAAAAATATTAAATGATAATTGTTAAAATCCAGTTCATGTTGCGATAAATAAATTGCGAAACAAAAACTTTCAAGTTTACCCTATTGATTGAAAAAATTGTCTTAATTTTGGACCTATAGGACCATTAGGATAATTCCCACCCAAAGCCACTGATTGACGTAATGTTATACCACGTTCTTGCAAGTATCTCATTAAAAAGTCACTAGTTTTAGTATAAGTTTTATAATCCATATGACTAACACTTGAACCAGATCTATAAGGAACTATTGTTGTCTCAAGAATTATAGCATCTTTAACATCAGTGGAATTAGGGGGTAAAAGTCCTAAAGAATGAGGCGTGGTGGCTTCAGCCATCATTTTAAGAGCCAATTGGTATTGGGGTGAAGCTTTAAATTTGGTTATAAAATCTTGACCATTAATAAATGTTCCTTTAAAGGTATTTAGTTGTTGTGTAATATTTGATACACGTTGACCAGATGGAAGGATAACCATACATTTATCAAATACCATTTCCACAAAACCAGCGAATATCATACCACCGGCACTTTGAGCGAACGTGATTTGTGGTGTCAATGCTTGCGGTGGCATATTAATAAAATCATCATAACCAGAAGTAAAACCTAATCCATGAACCAGCTCATGTAATATAACAAATAAGAAATCTGATTGACTCGGTTTTATTCTACCATCACCTTCAAACCAATAATCAGCTTGACTGTTGAAAAGGGCTAAAATGTCATAATCAGAGAAAAAGGAACGATTAACACCAGTAACATTTTTCTGTTTCATAAGGGACTGGGGATATAATCGTTGTACACCATCATCGTCTAAAACTTGAATAGTTCTTGCAGGTGCAGCACCTCCTAAGAAATTTATTAATGGATTAAAGAAAGAATTGAATTGAACCACCAATTAATAAATAACATACCTAACGTTAGAGTTCCTGAAGTTGTAGTACATTGATTCAAAAGTGAACAAAAATCTGTGAAGGTAGCATTGACGGTTACAGGAGTGGTAAACGCGATCGCGGCAGTAATGATTTGTGCCGCAGTAGTAAACGCGTTTTTTACTTTATCACAAAGAGTCTGATTATTCATCAGGCATTTAAAAGAAACCACAAACATGTTGGTTTCGTCACGTTTTGTGTATGGTAAATTGTTTGAATATGTCGTATCTGACGTTAAAAAACATGGCGCTCGTTTTCTTTCAGATGGTTTTAACGGATTCGGGTGATCCCAACATATTGGTGAATTATTCGCACAAACAATCGCAAAGCCAACAGCAAGAAACAAGTACAGTGACAATGTCTCTAGAGGCTTCATATCAATATCAAGTTTTTATATTTTTAAAAATATATATATATATATTCTTTGCCTCAGCTAAAAACTGATATTACTTCCGTACTTACGAATTAATAGAAAGGTTTTTTTTTTTTTAAAAAAAAAAAAAAGACAAAAAACAAAAAAGCCACTTTTATTTATTTACAGTAACTTTTTTTCCCGACTTCGTATACCGAACATACCGAACTGATGTAGTGGGCTAAGTAAGATACGAATGTCAATAGAATGTTATGCCGTATTGAAGTGGCCAAGTTTTCTAAATTTAGTCAGAATATATATAGTTGTTGATAACCCGATATGGATAGTCTTCTCGCTTCAGATTTACGGACATTTTTTCTTTTTTCTGTTTTCTGGCTTGAACGATCAACTGTCATATTGTGTTTTCTAACACTCATTTATTCAAAAAACCCTTATATATAGATACGACGATTACAATAATTAAAACTACACATATAGT